GAGAGAGAGAGAGAGAGAGAGAGAGAGAGAGAGAGAGAGAGAGAGAGAGAGAGAGAGAGAGATGAGGGGTGAAGGGCGCCAGCTTGCATTGATTTTGCAGGATAAAAAATTCAAAATCGATACAATCCTGCTCTCCTACTCCCAGTCGTCGTGGCCAACCACTTGTGTTGTGAAAAAAGTTTTTATTGTTTCATTGTTTCCAACTCTGTCATCGTAAAGTGCGACTGTCATTTGCCCACCACCAAGCAGTCAAGCTGGGAGCTGGCCATCCGGTACATCCAAAGATCATCCCCCTGGTCCATCGGCGCATCTGCAGCGAGGCCTGGCAGACAATGATGGCTTAAGATTTGTCTTGTATAACGAATGAAGGCCAAAAGAAGACTTCTTTGGGGTGTCTCAGACTGAGCCACGCTTTTGTTTCATTTTCTGGTCCTTAAACGTTGATAGTAACTTGATACTGTTTGCTGACCATAGTTCGTTCCTTGCAGCCTCATTTGTGAAACTGTAACAAAATTGCTTGTTCTGAGAACCTTCTAAGAAGACTCATACAGTGTGCACATTGCTTGATATGTTTTTGCTGCCCCTTGGATATGGTGGCATTGCTTGTGTTGCGTTTGCTTTTGTGATTCGTATGATGATGTGTAACAGTGTAAGAGGAAGATGCCTCTGATAGCAAAGGTTCCTTCAGTGAAGAGATCCATGGAGCGGTATGTGTTCAGTGTGAAGGCACTACTTCACCAGACCGAGAAGGAGAAACTTTTCTGGATAGGTGAGTACACTGAGTATGTGATTGCGTTTTGTTCTTTTGTTTTTTGAACTTTTTTGAAGTTTTTGAACTTTTTTCCCAATAAAACAGGCCCTTATGGTCCTGGCTCCATAAGAGTCCATATCCATTCTGGGGAGCATCAGTCTGGTTCCTTTCCATTTTTTTTTTGGTTCTCTTCTTCTCCTCGAAAAAAAAAACAAAAACAAAAAAAAACTAGGCTCCTATTCTGGGGGGAGCAGCAGTCCGGTTCCTTTGCCACCGGCAAGTCAGAAAGGCATACAAGTACAACACACACGGTTCCCCATGTTACGGCCTGGGGAACCCTGATAGCATTCATTGCTTGCCAGATCAGTCCGGTTCTTTTTTTTTTTCTTTTTTTTTTTTGTATTCCTCCGGCAAGTCAAAATCCTCAGATGCATCTTTTGCACGTTCTGCGATGAATGGACTCTCGAGAAGCTCGCAGCTACACACCATGAATGAATTCAACACATGGTAGCAGCAATTGGAAAGGAGGTGAAAACAGCAAGGGTGTCTTAACCCTGTTGCTTATGGGAGAGTTCAAAACCCCTCCTGGCGCAGTTTCCTGAACTGGGAGTCCCCGTTCCCCTGATTTCCAGGTGAAGACTTCTTTCAAGAAGTCCTTTGAGCCTTCTGGAATGTGCAAGGAAAATGAGCAATAGCAAGATGACAATATCCAGAATGCACAATCACATTGAAAGCCAGAAAGTATCACAGTGTCCAGAAAGCAGCATTGCACCAATATGACACCAGTGGAGAATCGTAACACTGAAAACCAATGTCAATGAGAGCTTGCTCTCACCACCACCAACACAAGAGTCCAGGACCTTCTCCCTACTTGCACTCGGCTCCCAGCCTACTTCCTACACAGCTACTGTCTGTCTACTAATTGACAATCCAACTGTTGACGTCAGCAGCCCACGAAGTGCTTGAAGATGTCGCCCAATGCAGACCATCACCAATACCAGGTATGTGCCCTCACATCATCATCATCATCATCATCATCATCCTTCTCTCTCTCCCTCGACTTACACCCAGGTCTTCCCTCTGTACACCCGAAGACCACCTCTGCGCCTCACTGTATGTCCAAGCCCTAAGCCAGCTATGGAGGCTGGGCTATGGCGCTTCCCTCAGCAGCGCCCTACTTCACCACACGACCGCACGTGCGCAGCACCTTGCTCCAGCGCTATCCAGCGCTAGCAGCCAGCATGCGAGCGATTGCTCCAGCAGCGCTGCCTCCAGCCAGCAAGTTCCTGAATGAGCCTCCAGGCAGCGAGCTCTTTCCTACATGGAAAGAGTCTGCCTGCCCCGGCGGCCTGGCTGGTCTGGGCCTCTGCCCAGAAGCTTCCGGTTCGCCCCAGGAGGCTGTGCCTCTGCTGCAGCGGCTGGGCCTCGTTCAGTTGGGCCTCCCAACTGTCTGAGTATGAGGCTGCGATTCTGGCCAAGGGCCTGCATTTCAGGAAAGGCCTGGAAGGCCGTGGTACAGCTTTGCTGCTCGGCCTGTGTTTCCCTCAACCAACTGGCGCGTCACAACTGCGTGGACCTCAAATACGAAATTGACAGCAATGGGCTCTTGAGATTTGTTAGGCCCGCCTTCACTTAGGGCGGGCACATCTGTAACAAGGGCCCCTCAGGGCTGCCGAGGACCCAGATCCTCGCATTCCCTCCTCCTTTACTTCGACGGTTTTCTGAGGTCTTCTAATCTGCAGGCATATTTCCCTTGAGTTCTCTTTCATAGCCTGCAATCGCTTGAGGTGCTGTTCGCTGGAGTTCTTCTCTAGCGAACCACCGATCTTCGCTGGGATCAAGATGGTATCTAAATCTGACACAATATTGCATTCTCGGCTTGGGAGGGCGGACTCTGCCCGGCGGTTTAGGCACTGGCACCATTCGATGCTCCACGATTCCGTCGATGTCGACGTACACCATCCATGGTTGGGGGCAGCATTGACCGTCTGGAGGGGAACTGTGCAGTCTCTGCGAAAGGTGCCAGCTTTGAGGCGTGAAAAACTGGGTGTGTGCGTAAGTGAGGTGGGATGTGAATTGCATAGGAAGGTCCGTCTATCTGATCCCCAACTATATCTAGGACCTCCCATGGACCAAAATATTGTGGCATCAATTTGCGAGATATGCCCAGTTCTTGACCCAGTTCAGATGATTTGACCCAGACTCTATCACCTACCTGAAAGTTAGAGGGCCGTCTATGCTTATTCGCAGATGCGATCATAGCATCTTGAGATTTTCTAATATGCTCGACGGTCTGCCGCAGCATCTGTTCATACTTTACAGCAAACTCTATGCTGCCAGGTGCTGCAGTGGGCTGTTTTTCGGGTAGCAAGAAGTCAAGTGCTGTTCTGGGCTTCCGACCAAGATGTAATTGGTTGGGAGTCATACCAGTAGTACTATGCATAGCATTGTTATACAGGCTGGCGACGAGAGGTAACTTCTCGTCCCTGTCATCCTGACTTAGCTTAATATAATGTCGAAGCAGGTGCTGTACTACTCGGTTCATCTGTTCTGCCTGGCCATTTGACTCAGGGTGGTTCCCTGATGTCATTTGCAGCTTGGTGCCCATCTGCTCAGCTGTTGACTGCCACTGTTCGCTGGTAAATCTTACATCCCTATCACTTACTATAGATGTAGGGAGTACAAAATCACGTACCCAGTTATCCAGAAACAGTTTGATGACGTAGTCAGTTTTAGCAGTTTCCGGCATAGCGATAAGTCTTGCATACTTGGAAAAGCGGTCCACTATAACGAAGATGTGTCTCTTGCCAGCCCTGCTGGTCACAAGAATATCCATGAAGTTCATGCACACACACTCTGACTGGGACCTTCAGAAATCGGCAAGGGATTTAGAAGCCCAAGCGGAGCCTGAGTCCTAGGTTTGTCCCGTTGGCAAACTGGCAGGTTTCAGCGTATCTCTTGGCATCTTGCATCATAGAAGGCCACCAGAATCTTTGCACTAAGTTAGCTGAAGTCTTCTTATAACCGAAATGGCCAGTTGTATCATGACATTCTCCTGAAAATAAAACTATGAAGAGACTCTCTATATGGGACACATAATCTTTTATTCCTTGCCTTCTCGAGAAACAGCAAGCCAGTCACTTTGTCTTTCGCTTGAAATCTACGAATGATCTTAGAAATAACTGGATCTTGTTGATAGGCTTCCATCAAGGATCAAGTTACTTCGTCTGATATACCAAACCCAGTCACTAGCGCGCCCAGATAATCTGCCCTTCGCGATAGTGCATCAGCCACTTTGTTGTACTCTCCCTTGATTGGATCAAGTTCATAGTCATACATGTTTGTCACTTGAATCCACCGCTTGAGTGCGTTAGAGAGTACAGGCTGTGTCTTGATCCAGCGCAAAGTCTCATGGTCAGATCTCAAGTAGAAGAAGATCTCAAGTAGAAAAATCTGGCTAGGAGATAATGTCTCCAATGGACCAGCGCTCTGTAGAGGGCATAAAGCTCATGCTCATACGTGGACTTTGCTAGCTTCTGAAATGGCATCTTCTTACTCATATACTCGATGGGCCTCAACTTTTTCCCCTCCTTTTGCGCAATATTGGCTGGCGTCTGTGGTCACGACAAAGGGCTGCTCAGGATCTTGAAATTTGAGGACTTCGTAGTGTGTCAGAGCATACTTCAATTTCTTGAAGCTTGCTTCACACTCCTCGGTCCACTCCCAAGGGGTGTCAAGGCGAGTAAGATTTGTTAGTTGGGAAGTTATAGTACTATAGTTTTTAACGAACGGACGATAGTAGCCCGTCATCCCCAAAAATGATTAGACCTCAGTAACAGTCTCAGGTCTGGGCCAGTCTCGTATGCTGGCCAATTTGGCATCATCCGGCCTCAACCCATCCGCATAAATTTAATGACCCAAGTACAAGATCTTGGTGTGACCGAACTCACATTTCTCCAAGTTTACCTTGTACTGGTGCTGTCTTAGGAGACCTAGCACTGTTTTCGAGTGCTCAACATGCTCCTCCACAGTCTTACTAAAGATAAGGATATCGTCAAGGTACACGATGATAAACTTGTCTAAGTATTCATGAAAATTCCTATTCGTTGCGTGTTGGAATGTTCCAGGTGCATTGCATAGGCCAAAGGGCATCACCACAAACTCTTACAGACCGTACCTGGTCTGGAAAGCGTTTTTGTGTTGGTCCTCGGGTCTAATGGCAATTTGATGGTATCAGGACTTTAGATCTATCTTAGTAAAGTACTGGCATCCCTGCACTCTATCCAATAGGTCGTCGATGCGAGGTAGGGGCTCCACGTTCTTTATGATGATGGCATTGAGGCCCTTATAATCAATGCACATCCTTAAGGTACCTCCCTTCTTAGGAACAAATAGAATTGGAGCACCGTAAGGGGAGGTACCAGGCCGAATCCATCCCTTCCCTGTGAGCTCTTTGAGTTGGCGGCGGAGCTCATCCAACTCCGCAGGAGACATCCTATAGATCCGTTCTCTAGGTACTTTGCTACCAGAGACGACTTCTATCGCGTGGACAACCTTCATTTTCACCACACCAGTGGGCTCCTCAAAAAGGTCTGAATATTGTGTGACGACTGCTTCTATCTCTAGGGGTGATTTTACGGCCTCCCTTTTTTCACAGACAAAGACTAAGTACATGCCTTCCTCGTGATTCTGTTCATAGTAGTTATAAAAGGAAGATGCACACATGCACCCGTAGTTTTCCACTAGACTGCTAGCTTTAAACTTCTGCAGTCTAACGGTTCTACCGTTGGGCAACTTGTGGATCATCACCTTTCTATCCCAATCGAATTGAGTTTGTGCAAGCTCGAGGTACATGCCTAGTAACATGTCGAATGGCAGCTCGTCACTGACTAGGAATGAGATTTTATGTCTCAATTCCCATCCTCCATAGGATAAGGTGCAAACTACGTCCTTGACATAGTCTTGTACAACCATGCAGTGCTTGTTGGCTAGCGTTGATGCTACAGATCTGTTGAGCC